CATTTCCAGTTTTTTTTCCTCCAATCCTGTTACTCAAGGTGCCAAAACAGGAGCATGAGGGCTAAGCATCATTTCTCTAGATACTTTAAAGTTATCAATGGAGCTAAGAACTGTTAAATAAAACGGTTTCTCTCCTCTTACCTTGCTATACCTTCCCCACAACCTGGAAGGCCAGGTGTAAATTCAGAAGTTCTAGGACTTCTCTGAGAGGTAGCTAGAAGGTGCTGACATGGAGGAACCAAGCCACAACCTGTCCCCCTTCTCTGCTCATCCCAGCTCCGCACATGACCTCACACACCCCTACGTGGCCACTCCAGCCTGCCCACCCACTTTCCATCTGCACTCTCTGCAGACAAATGCCCCTCTGTCTTGGGGTACCCAGTTGGGTGGTACTGTCAATGCCCAGGGAGTTGGGCCTGGATGAAACTTACACGGGCCCTGGGCGTGGGCTCCCAGTCATTGGCACAGAGAATTTTGGGGTCCTGGGTACCTGGAGTGGCAAGTTCCTTGGCCCACAGGCTCCTCAGGCCATGACCGAGATCATGGCCAGAGGAGGATAAGAGGGTCCCAGGCCTCAGGGCAGAGCCGTGTGAGATCTGGTCTGAACATTTTAGAAAAGGCCTGGGTTGGTCCCTTCGGCCAAGCACAAACCCTGCGTGTTTTCCCTGGCATGAGTCCTCAGCATGCCGCCACTTGTCCGGGGCACGGGCTCCTCATCTTAGAATAAGGACCTCGTGTTCTGTGCTCCCCAGGTTTCCTTCCTCTCGATGCTTCTGACTCAGGAATTTGATCAGAAGTTAATACAAGGAGAAATTACAGTGTAGCCCAGCAGGAGCCGAGCTGGTTACCTACAAATAAATCTGCTTTTGCTTTTTTGGGTGTCATCTGTCAGAAATTCAAGTGATGTTCTGACAGTCGTGCTGATTAAGATGTCAGCCGAATAGATATTTAAGTATTTGAAAAATACAGAGAGTTTGTCAAAACTTTAGGAAGAGTCTAACAAATTCTTCCTGGGAGCAAGGAAAATATTTCAAAATGGAACAGAGGCTGTCCCCAACCCAGGCATGAATTCTCTTCCTCGGAAAGTTGAGCTTCCTGTGGAGCTTCAGAAAGCACAGTCCCTTCACAGTTGTTGGGGTCGCAGGCTGGCCCATACCTTCCCAGGGTGAAGGGGGAGGAGGAGCTGAGGAGGAGCAGGGAGCACTCACCTCTCCCCTTCCCTTTACCTGTCTTCCTGTTCTGACATCTCTTTCCGCTGGGCCCCAGCACCCTTCACCTGCTCAGAGCACCTACCTGTTATTTTCATGTAGGTTCTAAGTCATGTTATTTTCACATACAGCACATTGGGTATACAGTGAAAAGATACCCTGATTGGGTGCCCGAGGTCAGCCTACCTCTACGCCTGGCCTGTCTTGCATTATGCTAATCACCTGTCTCATCCACTAAAATCTAATCTTCTCAAAGACCGTCTTTTTCATTGCCCCATCCCAAATTCCATGCCTAAAGGATGATGGGGGCTCCCAATAAGTGTTTGTTGGATGCTTGATTGATTGAAGGAACACATCATTGTGAGAATGGCAGCTCTGAGGAAAGAAGACAGAAATCAACAGGAACTCATTAATGAATACATACTTTTCCCCGCACTGCAGAAATGGAAGAAAATTTGAATGCATTAAAAAATGGAAAGCTTACTTGGGCCTCTATGATTTAAATGATTGAATTGATAAAAATAGAAGGAATTCAGATCTGCAGATGGTTGGTATGATTCAAAGGCATTGGCTGATACCATGAAACATTGATTTGTTTGACGTACATTCAAATATAGCACCACTCCAACAATGGCAACGAGATGGAGGAGGAGGAGGAGGAGGACGGGACTTTCTCTGAACTCTCCCAAGAGCATTTTGAATAGCTTCGTTGTGCAAAACTCCTCATCAAAACAAGATGTAACTTTTCTAAGGATGTTGTCTTCACAAACACTGAGCGTTAGCCTGTTGCTAGCTGTTTTTCTCTAACATACTGGATCTGTAAGGCCGGTTTGGCATTAGGAGGTATAAAGTCAGATGCAGTGGGGAGAGGACGAAAGGCCAGTTCCCGGCGCAGGTCTTCCCAGAGTGGACACTCACAAAGCTCTCTCCAGTTCCGAGCCTGGACTCGTCCAGCACAGGCTGCTTAGGTTCAGGTTGCACCAGGCTGCGGGTGGGGATCCCTGGGCCCGGGAGCTGTACTGGGGGGAGGTTCTAACTCTCTCTGCAGAGAAGAGGAGACAAGCCCGCACTGATGCTGCTATTTTCTCAGAGCCGTTGAGTTTCACCTGCCCAAATGCGTGTCTTGTCAATTCGAGATCTCAATCCACCACAGGAGCTGCTGCTCTCATCTCTCATCTCTTTCGTCCATTTTCTCCTACGTCCTCAGTGGCTTCCGAAGGAGCCTCTCAGCTTGTCGTGTCTCCCTGCAGGGCACCCAGGAGAGCTTGTTCTCCTCTGAAAGTGACAACAGCCTGTACTTCACCTACAGCGGCCGGTCCAATACCTTGGAGGTTCGAGACCTCAGCTACCAGGTAGAGGCACACCTGAGAATAAGGTGGGAGGAGCGGGCAGGAAAGCCAAACAATCCCCCAAGTGGAAGGGAAGGGTGAGCTCATCCTGAGGGTCCTCTGCTCACAAAGACAGGTCCAGTCCCCGCTGCCTCACGTGTTAGACGACTTCCTCCTACTGCGCATGTCACAGCTAGAGGTTGCGAGGCATAAAGAATGAGACTTCGTTAACACATAAAGCCAACTGTGTGAACCTATGGGGGGAAAAAAATCTATAAAACTCTTTTTGAACTTCATATTTTGAAATAACTTTAGACTTTTGATAAAGTTGCAAAAATAGTGCAGAGTTCCCGTTACCCTTTGTCCAACTTTCACTAATGTTAACAGCTTGCTTACTGACTGCAAAATTATCGATTACGGTACGATACTATTAACTAAACTGCAGACTTTATGCAGATTCCATTCACTTTTATTTCTTCTTCTTCTTCTTCTTCTTCTTCTTCTTCTTCTTCTTCTTCTTCTTCTTCTTCTTCTTCTTCTTCTTTTGGTAAAATGTACTGTTGCTGGAGCTAATAAAATATTTAAAGTGCAAGTGCCTTTCAAAGGCTCTCCAGAGTCCCCTGATCACTTTCAAAGACCCTATTTCCCACACACCTCCCCCGGGGCAGACCCCAGGTGGCCCAGATGGAATACGGTGGGGCCTGGGATGGTGAACCTCAGAGGCTCAAGTCCGGCTTCCGGTGGATGTGAGTTAGGACGAGCAAATGAGCCATGACACATCCTTTCTCTGCTCTGCCACTCGCTAGCTATGTGACCCTGAGCAACTGACTTAACTGCTCTGAGTTTCATCTGTAAAACGGATTATAATCATATCTATGTTATAGG